TTTGGCGGGTCCGGGCTGGGGATTCGAACCCGCCACCTTAGGTGTATGTGGCTGGCGCCTTAGCCACTTGAGCCACAGGTGCCAAGCCCACAGCTATGATTTAATAAAAAAAACTTAAAAAATTTAAATGGGTATTTCCTATAGAATTTAATACCAAAGATAATCATCTTTTTATTTTATTTTACATTTTATCAATATCCTTATTACCAGTGTGGCACATACTCATTCAAAAGACAATTTAAACAATAAGGAGGAAGGCAGTGCTGAGGCCTCCTGAGGACTCTGGCTGCCCCTTGCGGCAGCCATACGTGTGCCCCCCTCGTGGCACCAACACTGAGTGACCTGTAACCAAGAAGGAAGAGGGCAGGGAGGGGAGCTGCACGTGAGCAACAATAACAGGGGGTGGCAAGTGTCTCCCTGCTGCCTGTTCAAGGGGCCCCCATTAACATTTCCTTACACGAAGTCTCTGGACAGAACACATCGGAGTCATCACCACCATCATCACTAACTTCAGAGGAGAAGACAATTCTCACACCAGCTTCATCACGAAAAGGGTGAACTTTCAGCACATGTTTGCCCTGTGATTTATTCTCCAGAATCTTTGACGTCCAGAAAGAATAATGATTCTCTTGCCTGTCACTTTAAGAAAAACCAACAAATGATCACCATTGTTTAATCCTTAGGTTTAAAGTTGCCAAATGGAAAGACATTCAAGTTGGAGATGTCATTCGTCTAAAAAAAAATGATTCTATTCCAGTAAGTGAAGAAGCTTCTCTGATTCCTTACTCTACCCGGCTCCCCTGGACCCCACACTTGGTTTCTGGCTGGGGCGGGGGGGCCTCTGTGTTACTCAAGTGTTTTGTTTTCAATAGGCTGACATTCTGTTGCTGTCCAGCTCTGAGCCTAACAGCCTGTGCTACGTGGAAACGGCAGAACTAGATGGGTAAGATTGCCTTTAGCGGGTCTGTTTTAAAGCTGGCCTTGGATAGCACATTCATTATGTTGACATCTGTGCTGTCATACCACGCCCTCTGGCCCTGCCTCTGCCACTTGCTGCATGCCCAGCAGGGTTTCTGGCATCTGTAAAGCAGAGCTCTCAGTCTCTGCCATTCCCCACGTCTCAGACAAGGGTAAAGGATCAAATGGGAGCACAGAGGTCTCATAAACTGCTGAGCTGTCTGCAGACAATATGAATGTCGATGTTAGTATCAGTTTCAGAGAAAAAACAATTTGAAAGTCTTTACCAGTAGGCAATTTTGAATTCTTCTTTTATTGATTTTGGTTATTATGCTATCATGTAAAGAAGAATAACATTCTGTGTTTGACCGGTTTTCGGTATGTTTATTGAGTACTTACGAAGGCACTTCAGATATTAGCTCATTTAACCCTCTCAATGACCCTATGAGACCCATGAGGAATCTGAGGCCCAGCGAAGTGCAGCAGCGTGCCCTAGGTCACACAGTAAGTGGCAGATGGGACCTTTCTCCCTGCGTTTCTTGTTCCTTGTACCCTAGATGTGCAAAACTCTGTCTAATAGAAAGCAGAGATCATGTGAGTGAAAACTAGGTCTGTCTTCACTCCACAGACCAATTGGTTGACCATTCAACCTTCACTGCATGCATCAAACAGCTGTTATTTCCTGAGTAAGAGATTCTCTAAAGCTTTACAAATTCTAACACACCCCCATCAGAACAAAATGTCAAGTTGAAAACCAATGTACCTGGAAATTCCCAAGTAAGTTTTTATGAAGCCGGTTAACAGCTGTCCACCATGAGAAGGTGTCCTTGATCTCAAGAGCACGTGTCCTAGCCTGCCCCTGCCTGGCCACGTGCAGGTACCTTACCTTGCACTGTGGTGGTGGGGAGGGTATGGGGGGAGGCATTCCCAGTATTGGGAATGAAGCTATCGCCTCCTTTCTCAAATAAAATTCTTTAAAAAATGTAATCGAATTATTTACCCTGGAAAATAATTTGACAGAGGCTAAAGAGATTTCTGTAACAAATACATTTTATAGAATCATCTTGTGATTAAATGTTAGAAGCTACATTTTTAAGCAATAGTTTGGTAGTCCCAGCTGGTGGTGAGGGGTTCAGTTAATGAGAAGGAAGCTTGTGGGTACCTCTGTCTCCCTCACAATAGCAAACAGTGAAGGGGCCCAGCATTTCCTAAGGTCAGAAATATTCTCTACTTCGGAGCATGACCTCATCCCAACCCAGAGCTCCAAGGTAAACAGAGTTTGAAAATAGAAAAAGCTAATTACTTAGCCTTCATTTCCAAATATGCCAAATATTACTTTGTGCCATATTCCCTTTCAAATTCTAAAATTTGGGGCAGAGCCCGTGGCTCAAGGAGTAGGGCGCCGGCCCGTATACTGGGGGTGGCGGGTTCCAGCCCGGCCCCGGCCATAACTGCAAAAAAAAAAAAAAAAATCAAATTCTAAAATTTGTTCATTTAATTCTTTCTTTTTCTTTTCCTTTAGAGAAACCAATTTAAAGTTCAAAATGTCACTTGAAATCACAGACCAGTATCTCCAAACAGAAGATACATTGGCAAAATTTGATGGTCTGTACCAAACTTGTCTTATTTCGCTTTAAATTTAGATATTTGATTTAGTTCCTATTGGTTAAAATCAGAAACTCTTTTGTATGTGATTAATTATGTGAATCTTGTCTTTTTCTGAAAGGTTTTATTGCATGTGAAGAACCCAATAACCGATTAGATAAGTTTACGGGAACACTATTTTGGAGAAACAGAAGTTTTCCTTTGGACGCTGATAAAATTCTGTTACGTGGCTGTGTACTGAGGAACACCGATGTCTGCCATGGAGTGGTTATTTTTGCAGGTACTTTGGAGTTTCTTGGGAAATTGTTCTACTATAAGCTTTAAAGATTTAAAGGAGAGGGCAGTGCCTGTGGCTCAAAGGAGTAGAACACCGGCCCCATATACCGGAGATGGTGGGTTCAAACCTGGCCCCAGCCAAAAAAAAAAAAAAGATTTAAAGGAGAAATTGCTTTTCTGTCCTTTTGCCATCAGAAGCAAAGGTAGAGTGATTTTTCTGACGTGCTAGCCAGTAGATTTTCCCAGTTGTTGATGTTGAATTTTTCATTTTCAGGTGCTGACACTAAAATAATGAAGAATAGTGGGAAAACCAGATTTAAAAGAACAAAAATCGATTACTTGATGAACTACATGGTTTACACGGTATGTATTTTTCATCTCAGATGAGAGGCTGGACTGTTGTCTTTGCTCTAATTTTGTGGGGTGTTTTTCTAATGCAAAGAAATCTGATCTCTTTAGATGGAATAGAAACATGCTTGGTCACTCCAAGTTTTGAAAGCAGAGAGAAGGGATTCCTACCTTTTCTAAGTAATGCCTTGTTTACTCTTGGGAAGGGAAATTTTAGTTGTAGAGTTCCCTGACTACTTTGATGGCCAGTGGAGACCCAGGAAGTCCTATATAAATTAGTGGGGTCGTGCTCCTTCAGTCAGGGCAGGGTTGAGTTTATTGCTGTTACTTTCCCATAGAGGTAGTTCTCTTAACAGCAAGACCTTTTTTTCCCTCCTTAACATAAGCTGTATACATCCAAATATATGGAAGACTGAAAAGGTGTGCTGAGGGTCCCTAAGACCACTGCCAGGTTCAAGAACTCACATTTAGTGGGACCCATGGCTGTGTCTTATTACAGACAAAGGACACAGAGCAAGATCAGGAAAAGACAAATGGGGCAAGTCTGGAGGAAGCGGGTCCCCTCTCAGTGCAGCCACACACACATAGGCATTTAACTTCCCCAGTGACAACCGATGACAGCACATATGAAATGCGACTTCTCCTGAAAAGCTCATTAGCTCGTTTAGTAACTCAGTGTCCGGTTTTTTGTTTTCTTTTTTTGAGACAGAGTCTCACTATGTCACTCTTGGTAGAGTGCTGTGGTGTCACAGCTCACAGCAACCTCCAAGTCTTGGGCTTCAGAGATTCTCTTGCCTCAGCATCCCAAGTAGCTGGGACTACAGGCGCCTGCCACAATGTCGGCTATTTTCTTATTGCAGTTGTCATTGTTTAGCTGGTCTGGGCTGCGTTCAAACCCACCAGCCTCAGTGCATGTGGCTAGTGCTGTAACCACTGTGCTACAAGAGCCAAGCTGTGTCTGGGGCTTTTGATTACGAGGTTATATAGGTAGTCTGCCTGGTGTGTTCCGAAATTCCAGACTCCTCCCCCAAATGCAGGTCATCACTATAAACCATGGCATCTCCTTCCAGGTAGGCACAGTGTATAGCTGGGATTATAGGCATGCACCACAATGCCCAGCTGAACCATTCTTGTCAGAGAGTAATAAATAAAGAATCAGGAAACCATCTCCAAATCTCAGTTCCCAAATATCAACTAAGGGCCAGCCCTGCAAGCAGGACTTCTAAAAATCAGTCTCAGGCTTGCTGTGTGAATTCTTTTCTGCCTATATCATGACCCCAAGTATTGAGTAGTCTTTCAGTTGCCCAGATTTTTTTCTTAGCATTTGAATGCATATATTCTCAGAGACTTTATAGTACTTATTTTTTATTACATATACATATTTTAGATCATATAAAAGGAACATAGTAAGGAACTTTTGCCCCCGCTCCCACATTTTATGGAAATTTTATTTGACTTTTTCACATTCATCTTCAGTGTCATTACCATGGTTACCGTTAGTGCACTCACAAAGATCCCGTCATCTTTCCTCTGTGCCTAGCTGGTGTGAGATATGGCACTTTGAAATCTGTGTCTAGAAATTTAAATTTGTCCCTGGAAATTTTATTTCCACATGCAAACCTCCAAATACTGGTAGGATAGTTGACTTTTATCCATCCCATACATATATACTCATAATTTTCATAAAACAATACTTACCTATTGCTTCTTAAGTGATTTTGTTTACAATGTCATTCAATATTTATAACATCACACTCTCAGGAATAATACCCCAGATATGGGTGAAATTTCCTTGCCTTTAAAAAAACAATTTCTGGCTCGGTGCCCATAGCAGTGGTTATGGCACCAGCCACATGCAGAGAGGCTGGCAGGTTCGGACCCAGCCCAGGCCAGCTGAACACCAATGACAACTGCAACAAAAAAATAGTTGGGCATTGAGGTGGGCACCTGCAGTCCCAGCTACTTGGGAGGCTGAGGCAAGAGAATCGCTTAAGCCCGAGAGTTTGAGGTTCCTGTGAGCTCTGATGCCACGGCACTCTACCCAGGGTGACATGGTGAGACTCTGTCTTTAAAAAAAAAAAAAAATAAACAACAATTTCTGTCAAATATTTTCTGTAAGCATCTCAGTTCAGCATTGTTTAAAGTTTCATGCTAAGGTAAGGTATCTTCTCTAAGCAGTATGTTATTGTTCAAAGTAAAACTAATTGAGAAAATGCCTTGTTTTATATACGAGTCTTTAAGGATTTGAATATAAAACACCACCTTCTTTTTTGAAAGATAATTTTGGGAGCAAAACCTCATCTTATATGTGAGATGTAGGATGTTTTGATTGATTATAGCAATCCCATAGACTTCAAAAGAATTCTGTGCCACTGTTTTAAAGTGTATTATTTTTACAGACTACTAAGTTGTACACGTGTGAAAGGTTGAGCAAGGTTAGTTAGCACCTGTGAATGCATGGAGCTGGAAGTCCATCTTTGGGATACATTGAAATGTTTCATGTCTTCTAGATCTTTGTTGTTCTTACTCTGGTTTCTGCTGGTCTCGCCATTGGTCATGCTTACTGGGAAGCACAAGTGGGCAATTACTCTTGGTACCTCTACGATGGACAGGATGGTACACCCTCCTACCGTGGATTCCTCAACTTCTGGGGCTACATCATTGTCCTCAACACCATGGTGCCCATCTCCCTGTATGTCAGGTGAGCCAGGCCTCTCCCTGATCTTTTGCTTTAAGGGAAGAATATAGTATCTTTTGCCAATGTGGCTCCTTCATTTCTCACATTAATTGTTTCAAAGGTCATAAGGAACAAGTTGGGAAATAACTTTCCTTGCAGAATTGAAGGTAATGGGAAAAAATTAACATCTCAGTGTCTGCCCCGTGCCAGGCACCTTCTATCTCATCCTCTATGAGATAAGGCTAAGTTCAAAGATCAAATGCTCCTCCTCTCGTTACTCATCTCACTCGGTGAGATGCCTTCTCCATGGGTTCCGGAGCCCAGGCTTCACAAAGAGCCTGAATGGAAAACAAAGTATCCAATGTACACAGTATTAATATGAATCCAATATATAAGCAACTGCAACATGCCCACAGGAAGGAAAGACACAGGTATACTCTGTGGAGGGGAAGGGGCGGGGAGAGAGAGAGAAGGAGCGTGACTGGCGGGTTCACACCTAATGTGCACAGAGTGAGGGTGGTCAGCACCCTCCCCGGGTGAAGGGCGCAAGTATGGCTTGAACTTTATCTCAGCAATGAAAACAATGTAACTGAAACATTTGTACCCTCATATCAATCTGAAATTGTAAACAATAATAATTTTAAAAAATATATGTAACTTGGGATAAGAAAATGATCAGTTAAAAAAAAAAAGAAGCCTCCTGAAAGAAAGTGGAGATTTAGGAAGTCTAGAAAAAAACTTCTGAGGAACCTTCCTAACCTCTTATCTAAGTCTTCCTTATTACCACCTGCCACACTCATGGAAACTCACTGTGTGTCTGGCCACTACCTCTGTGGGAGAAGGAAATTCCCTGCCTCCAGCCATCTCTCAAAATGTTCTGTTTCTCATCTCGGATCTCAATCCTAGCCATAGAGTCCAACAGAGTCAGGGCCGTATCTCTGATGAGTTGTCTTGTTCGTGGACATTTCTTCCTTTTATGCTTTTTCTTTCCTTCCTATCAAAGGTCACTGTCACTAGCCAATTGGATTTTAGGGCTTTGATAAGTAGGGATCATGACTTTAAATATACTCCGCAGCCAGAGTCTGTTTTAGTTCCAATAAATCATATCCCAGAGGCACACGGGATCACATACACACCTATAATTAGAGGCATTTATTTTATTTAAATTGTATTATATGTTCATTTGTTTTATTTTTAATTTTATTACTGTTGTTCTTTTAACATGAAGGAAAGCCCTGGGGCAGCCATCTATTCTGCAGCCACTTGGGAAAAAACTAAGACAAGTGTTACCTTTGTTAAGGGAACTATTACACAGATTAATTTGCCTGAAAACTGTCCACTGACAGTTATATTAGACAATAAACTATATAGTGTGGGATTAAGAAAAAGAAAAGAACATTATGTGATGAATATAATTTATTTTTTTTAAACAGAGTTTCACTCTGTATCCCTGGGTAGAGTGCTGTGGCATCATCATAGCTCATAGCAACCTCAGATTCTTGGGCTCAAGAGATCCTGCCTCAGCCTCCTGAGTTGCTGGGACTACAGGTGCCTGCCACAATGCCTGGCTAATTTTTCAGTTTTCTAATAGAGACGGCATCTCACTCGTGTTCAGGCTGCTCTCAAATTTGTGAGCTCAGGTGATCCACTTGCCTCAACCTCCCAGAGTACTGGGATTTCAGGCATGAGTCACTCCACCTAGCCAATATAATTTTTTTTTTTTAATTTGAAGACATGGTCTTGCTATGTTGCCCAGGATGGTCTTGAACTCCCATCCTCCAGAGGCTTCCCTGCCTCAACTTGATTTCTTTATTTCTCTTGGAAATGAAGGTCCTTTGAAAGTATGCTGGATCAGTCATTCCAGATAGTGTCTCTGCTTTGTCTTAGCCTCCAGTAGCTTTTGATTTCCTTCAGAATAAACATATTGAGGCCACAAGGTCTCCTGTGATCTGCTGCTTGGTCCCTCCACCCCCTACCCAAACCTTCTGTGCCTTCACCTACCTCTCCAGCTCCCACCACTCCAGCCCCCCTGCCCCAGGGCCTTTGCATCTATTCTCACCTTTGCCCTGCAGGCCTCGACTGAGATAGCATCTTATCCCCCCAACTGTCCCAAGCCACTTCCCTCTAACCTCCACTACCCCTGCCTGTGGTCACCATCTCCCCTTACCCTGCTTTTGTTTTGTATAGAGAACTTTCACCACCTGATACACTATTAATTTACACTGATAACACTATTTATTTTTCTTGTCTGTCTCCACTAGAAGGTAATCTTAAGAGCACAGTTGTTGTTTACTGGTATATCTTTTGCACCGAGAATGGTGTCTGGTCTATAGTTTGTACTCAGGAAATACTGAAGGGGACGTAGAGTTATTTTTCCATATGTTTAACTTGTTATAAAGACCTCCTTTACCCACATGACAATTTAAAGTTTCCTTATAAATGAGATATATTTAATCCCTTATAGTTTTAAAATCTTAGTTTCCCGCTACGCTCTGGGGAACTGAAATGGCTGCCTTTACCTCCGCCCCAGTGGTAAGACAAAGAGGGTAAGGACCCACCTAGGTAAAGCCCTCTCTGCACTCACATAGGGCAAAAGATTTTGGTAAATACCCCTAAGTAATGACCCCACACTGTGAAAAAGCATGCTTTTTTTTTTCTGTAGAGACAGAGTCTTACTTTATGGCCCTCGGTAGAGTGCTATGGCCTCACATTGCTCACAGCATCTTCCATCTCCTGGACTTAAATGATTCTCTTGCCTCAATCTCCTGAGTAGCTGGGACTACAGGTGCCCACCACAACGGCCCGTCTGCTTCTTTTTGTTGCAGTTTGGCCAGGGCTGGGTTTGAACCCGCCACCCTCGGTATATGGGGCCAGTGCCCTACCACTGACCCACAGGCGCCACCCATGAAAAAGCGTATTTTAAAAAAAGAATTAGGTTGTGGCATCCTCTGGCCCTGTCTTTGATGTGCCTGTGTCACCCATTCTTCTGGGCTGTGTGTTCTGAACAGGGATTGTGGCCAGGTGTGCTCAGGAGTGAGTGAGAAATCACCTGGAGCAAAGCACTTGGGGGTGGGTGGGATTACTGGTCTGGAATCAACTTGACCCTGAAGTTGAAGAATAGTGTGGTTAGTCAGAGATACCCAGAGGCTGAGTGTGTGGGCCATTGCTTGGCTGGTCTCCTTGTAGATGCTGCTGTAACAAAAGAACTTAGCCTGGGTCACTTACAGAAATGTACTGCTCACAGTTCTGGAGGCTGGGAAGTGTGAGATCACGGCAGCAGATTTGATAACGGCTGGCTCTCTGCTTCATAGATGGTACCTTCTTGCTTGGTCCTTACAAGACAGAAAAGGCAAACAAGCTCCATGGGACCTCTCTGATAAGGGCACTAATCTCTCTTTTTCTCTTTTCAGGGTAGGCCCCTCAAAACCAAGTTAACTGCCAAAAGCCCCCCCTTGGTTCTATTGCTTTGGGATTAGGCTTCCACATACAAAAAGGTCTGGGCATGGTGTATCACACCTATAATCCTAGCACTCTGGGAGGCCAAGGAGGGAGATCACTTGAGCTCAGGAGTTTGAGACCGGCCTAAGCAAGAGTGAGACTCCATCTCTTCTAAAATGAGAAAAATTAGCCGGGCATGGTAGCAGGCGCCTGTAGTCCCAGCTACTTGGGAGGCAGAGACAGGAGAATCCCTTGAGCCCAGGAGTTGGAGGTTACAGTGAGCTCTGATGACTCCCCTACATGCTAGCCCAGATGACATAAAGACTCTGTCTCAAAAAAAAAAAAACAAACAAAAACAAAACCCTATACCATATGAATTGGGTTGTGGGGGGCACCCCCACATTCAGACCGTAGCAGTAGACATGTTCCTGTCTGCATAAATGAGGATCAAATCCAGCACCTGCCACTCACCTGAGCTCTCTGTGTCAAGTAATCTTTTGTCTTCCTAGCGTGGAAGTGATTCGTCTCGGACAGAGTCACTTCATAAACTGGGACCTGCAGATGTACTATTCTGAGAAGGACACACCTGCGAAGGCTCGAACCACCACGCTGAATGAGCAGCTGGGGCAGATCCATTACATCTTTTCCGACAAGACGGGGACACTCACACAAAACATCATGACCTTTAAAAAGTGCTGCATCAACGGGCAGATTTACGGTGAGTGGAAGCCGACAGGCATTTCCCAGGGGAAGGGGGGGGTGCATGCCATGTGCAGAGCACTGCCTGGACCAGGGCGTGTCTGCCCAGATTGCTGGTGCCCTTCCTGAACAGAGACCTCCTGGTGGTCACTCTGTTGCTGAGGGCCAGAGGACCATTGTGGGCAGCACTGGGGACATGCATGGGAGAGGACAGCATCACGAGTGGGCTCACATTTCTCAAAAAATTAAAATTAGATGAGCATGGGATCTGCTAATTCTGCTTCAGGATATTCACTCAGTGGCATTGAAAACAGGGACTCCAAGGGCTGTTTGCTACCATACCTCCGTAGCAGCATTATGTACAATAGCCAAAGATGGAAGCAGCCCGAGTGCTCATGGTTGGATGAATGACTAAACAAGATGCAGTGTATACATGCAAAGGGATGTCATTCCATGGAAGGAAGGAAGGAAGGAAGGAAGGAAATTTTGACACATGCCATGATACAGATCAGCCTTAAGGACATGATGCCATGTAAAATAAACCAGTCCGCAAAAGACAAATATCGTGTGGCTGGGAGTGGTGGCTCACGCCTGTAATCCTAGTACTCTGGGAGGCCGAGGCAGCTGAATCGCTTGAGCTCAGGAGTTGAAGACCAGCCTGAGCAAGGACGAGACCCCATCTCTACTAAAAATAGAAAAACCAATTGGGCAGTTGTGGTGGACACCTATAGTCCCAGGTACCCGGGAGGCTGAGGCAGGAGGATCTCTTGAGCCCAAGAGTTTGAGGTTACTATGAGGTATGATGCCATGGCTCTCAACCCAGGGCGACTAAGACTCTGTTTTAAAAAAAAAAAAAAGACAACTATTGTGTGATTTTCCTTATGTAGGGTAATTAAACAGTCAGATTCATAGAGATTGAGCAGAATGATGGTTACCAAGGGTTGAAGGTAGGGGACTGGGAGTTATTATTTAATGGTACAGAATTTCAATTATGTGAGGTGAAATATCAGTGCAATAGTCTGACTGTACAACACAGTGAGATCTTGACTCTACAGTTCAAAAATTAGCTGGGTGCTGGGCACGGTGGCTCACGCCTGTAATCCTGGCACTCAGGGAGGCTGAGGCAGGTGGATTGCTTGAGCTCACGAGTTTGAGACCAGTCTAAGCAAAAGTGAGACCTCCGTCTCTACTAAAAATAGAAAAACTAAAGCAAGAGGATCACTTGAGCCCAAGAGTTGGATATTGTTGTGATCTATGACGCCAAGGCACTTTACCCAGGGCAACAGCTTGAGACTCTGTCAAAAAAAAAAAAAAAAAATTAGGTATGGCAGTGCACATCTGTAGTCCCAGCTACTCAGGAGGCTGAGGCAGGAAGATACCTTGAACCCAAGAGTTCAGACTGCAGTGAAATATGATCAGGCCCCTGTACTCCATCCTGGGGGACAACATGAGACCTCTATCTCTTTTAAAAATAGTAACTTTTTTATCTATAATTTTGTAAAAAGTTGGTTTCTATTCTAATTTTCTAAAACATGCTGTATATGTATAAAAAATACGAAGCCAATACTGAATTCAAATAGTGAACTTTTAAATAAAGACTTAATAATACAATTTTTAAAAAGATATAGACACACATAAGGACTTTGGCCTTGAAGGAGACTGTACTGTGAGCATGTTTTCATGTAAGGAGTGTCAGTGAGAAAGGTGGGACAGCACAGGGCGAGGAAGCGGTCATGTGCCTGGTGGTAATCTCTTCTGAGTCGGGGGGG